ACTAAATATTAAAAATACTTGTTGACAATATTAAGAGAGAACGAGAAAATAGAGATTTTAAGCTTAGAGATTGTGAGAGTTTACTGTTTTTTCACTTTACAATACCACAATTTATAAAAAAAAATAAAATATTACCGTTACTATGCATTGAAAAAAAATAAAAAAATAAAACATTTAGTCAAAATGATCACATGATCGTTCTGATTGACTGCAGCGGCGCTTGCTGCTACTGCAGGGGCTTTTATTGTTATTATTTTTAAAAATCGCTGGCCCGGTTTGGCTTGAACCAGTCCAGGCAGCCCGTAGTTCTGCCCACACGATTCATGGGCCGAACCGCGAGCAGGTTCGCCTCTGGGCCCGCCCATTTTGACAACTCTATGTGCGTGCGTGCGTATAATATGTTGAAGAAGAGCCAAATGAAGCGACCCGACCATTTTATCCTTCTAGTTATAAATTAAAAGTGAGTTTAGGTGTGCATTTAACAATGGAACAACATATGGACTGAAAGACATTTTTCATAATGAAATGTTAAAATAAATATGAAAATATAAAAATTGAAACGTAAGAAAGTTTTGCACACTAAATATCAAATGCAGGGACGTTTTGTATTAATAACGCTCTATTTTAATAACTTAAAAATATTTTTTAATATCAATTCTACGTAAAAAAAATTGAAAGAAGATGTTCATTATTTATGTGAAATACAATAAACTATTCAAGACTTTTTATTATTTTTTAAAAATAAATTTTTTTTCATCTTTCACAAAAATATAATCAATCATTGTTTAAAACTTCTAATGAATAAACAGTGATCCAACAGTTTAATCAGTGACCCATGACACGATGACCTAGTCAGGTCAATGTCGAAGTCGGATTTGATAATTATGATTTAACCATTTATCCTGTAAATTAAAAATCAATGCAAATAAAAGAATATTCTAGAATGCACTTGAAATCAATATTGCATAAAATAAATAAACCATTCTCTACCTCAGAATCACATGCCATTTGTTTCCATTATAAGTTTTATCATTTAAAACTTCAACCTTCATATACAAACCCGATAAACCACGTGTCAGAATCTCGCGGCCTCCCTTCTAGTGACCTTCCTGTCTAAAATACCCTCAGATTAAACAAAAACAGCGATAAGCGAAAGGGACTTAATAGTATTTTCATTTAAACTACCAATTCGTACACAAATTCTACTAAATATTAAAAATACTTGTTGATAATATTAAGAGAGTACGAGAAAATAGAGATTTTAAGCTTGGAGATTGTGAGAGTTTACTGTTTTTTCACTTTACAATACCACAATTTATAAAAAAAAAAAATAGTCAAAATGATCACATGACTGTTCTGATTGACTGCAGCAGCGCCGCTGCTACTGCAGGCGCTTTTATTATTATTATTTTTAAAAATCGCTGGCCCGGTTTGGCTTGAATCGGTCCAGGCAGCCCGTAGTTCTGCCCACACGGTTCATGGGCCGAACTGTGAGCAGATTTGCCTCTGGGCTCGCCCATTTTGACAACTCTATGTGCGTGCGTGCGTGCGTGCGTGCGTATGTTATGTTGAAGAAGAGCCAAATGAAGCGACCCGACCATTTTATCCTTCTAGTTATAAATTAAAAGTGAGTTTAGGTGTGCATTTAACAATGGAACAACATATGGAATCAATGACATTTTTCATAATGAAATGTTAAAATAAATGTGAAAATATAAAAATTGAAACGTAAGAAAGTTTTGCATACTAAATATCAAATGTAGGGATGTTTTGTACTAATAACGCTCTATTTTAATAACTTAAAAATATTTTTTAATATCAATTCTACGTAAAAAAAAATTGAAAGAAGATGTTCATTATTTTTGTGAAATACAATAAACTATTCAAGACTTTTTATTATTTTTTAAAAAATAAAAAAAATTTCATCATTCACAAAAATATAATCAATCATTGTTTAAAACTTCTATGAATAAACAGTGATCCAACAGTTTAATCAGTGACCCATGACACGATGACCTAGCCAGGTCAATGTCAAAGTCGGATTTGATAATTATGATTTAACCATTTATCCTGTAAATTAAAAATCAATGCAAATAAAAGAATATTCTAGAATGCACTTGAAATCAAGATTGCATAAAATAAATAAACCATTCTCTACCTCAGAATCACATGCCATTTGTTTCCATTATAATTTATCATTTAAAACTTCAACCTTCATATACAAACCCGATAAACCACGTGTCAAAATCTCGCGGCTTCCCTTCTAGTGACCTTCCTGTCTAAAATACCCTCAGATTAAACAAAAACAGCGATAATAGTATTTTCATTCAAACTACCAATTCGTACACAAATTCCCATCATCTTCCCGATAATAAGAAGCGGCCTGTCGTAGAGCAATTTATTTCCTCTGAACTCAGCCGGACAACACCACTGCTGCCACCGTCGAGAATGGCTTCAATTTCTTATTTCAACCTATTACCAGTAAAAAGGTTCTGTATCTCCGTCCAGAATTCAAAATTCACATCGAAACCGTCTCTTTCTCCTGTGAATGTAATCAGTTTCTCGGCTAAAATCGCATCACAGAACTCCAATTTAAACAATGAACTTTCGAAGCCGAAGCAGAAATTTTCGGTCCGAGCAGTGAGCGATGATGAGTGGGGTCCAGAAAAAGAGCCGGATGCCTCAGCGGTAGCAGTGGCAGAGGAGCCACCAACGGAGCCTTCTGAAATTGACATACTGAAGAAGCAATTGGTGGACTCTTTCTATGGAACAAACAGAGGTTTGACTGCCAGTAGTGAGACGAGGGCGGAGATTGTTGAGCTGATCACACAGCTTGAGGCGAAAAACCCGACTCCGGCACCCACTGAGGCTTTGACCCGGCTCAATGGAAAATGGATTCTTGCGTAAGTTCCAATATACTTTTTCCTCTAACTGGAATACGAAATTAAATTTTTTTCATATTACATTTCTGCGGTGGGCCTAATTTGTTTATATTAGTATTGTTTTGAGTTTTTCAAGCAACAATTTCTAATTGTTTCGTGAACCGCGTGTGTTTTTATATTAAGACGCCGTTGAACAACATCACAAGTGCCCATTGATAAAACCCAGTAAAAAATTATTATTAATAAAGAGAAGATTGTAAAGTAGATTAGATAGTATTGGATGTCATAGAATAAGAAAAAAGTTAAAATTTGTTTTTTATATCACTGGAAGGATTCAGCAAAGCCAGATGATCAATTTATATTGAATTACTTCTAGAGTCTGGAGATGCTGACCATGGAAATGGATATATGTGTTTACACTTTACAATTGTTTATTTTTCAATGGTAGTAGTGAATAATGAGATGATTTAGTTCATGTTGCTCTATGCAACTTTTCACTTGGTTTCTTTGATGATGGGACCATTGATCATGTATCCTGGTAGTGGAGTTTGTATTTTGCCTCATTTTTAAATCTATCCAACACCATTGATGAACATAAAGGTCCTGTTCCTCACAATAGAAGTTCCAAAAAAAAAATGAAAAAAAGATCTGAACCAATGTTAATATATTAAGAAGTGGGAACTTATTACACTGTGTACATTTCGACTAAAAAGACTAGATTTGACTGGCACTAGCCAATTGAGGTTGAGAGGAACTGGAACTAGCCACCATCATAATATTTGGGGTTGCAGTTTAAACACAGAACAGGCGTTTTTCTGTAGTAATTATCCATGTATGGTGTCAGATGTGACTGTGATTGGTTCATAGTGACATTCTTAGAAATTCTAAAATTAATGCTTATAAGTAAATAAACAGTACATCATTGCTTGTCACTGACATGTAAAGGTTACACATGAAACACGAAGTGGAAAACTCAAGACATGGCCATCTAGTTTTCTACCTCTCCTGCGTCATTTTGAAGTCTATGTAGGGTGTTGTGCTTCTTGAAAAATGACTTCCCCTATTTTTCTCTCTAGTTTTATGGACCCTGAATGATTTTTAACCAATAGTCACTCTCTACAATGCTCTTCTCTTACACTTCTTTACTTAATTTGAATGATATTGATGGCATATTTTTGTCATAGCTTACTGCAAGATCTTTAGATTTTGGAGCCTGATCATTGATTGGTAAGATTAATATTTCATAAATTGACTAACAATTTTTTTCTGAGAGGCACTGCAGGTACACATCTTTTGCGGGTTTGTTCCCATTGTTATCAAGGGGAACACTGCCATTGGTGACTCTCGAGGAGATATCACAGACCATTGACTCGGAGAATTTCACAGTACAGAACTGTGTGGTCTTTGCTGGGCCCTTGGCAACCACCTCAATAAGTACCAATGCCAAATTTGAAGTTCGAAGTCCCCAGCGTGTGCAGGTTACTTTAGTTCGTAGTTTTACATTTTCTAATAATAAATCACGAGCAAAAACCCCATCGATGTATAATTTTCCTTTCTTTTGTAACCCTGACGAGGAACTTGTAAGATGAATTGGTGAACTGCATTTTAAGGAAAAAAAAAAAATGGTTCCGCATGGTTTGATCATTGCCTCTGTCCTAAAATAGCTTGAATAAGTTACAATTCTGTTACCTTAAGTCACATATTTTATAACTATATCTTACCATGCCATTCTGAATTGCAGATAAAGTTCGAAGAAGGAATCATAGGCACTCCTCAGCTGACCGATTCCATTGTATTACCAGAAAATGTGGAATTTCTGGGACAAAAGATTGATCTCACACCCTTCAAAGGTTTGCTCAGTTCTGTCCAAGACACCGCTTCCTCTGTTGCAAAAACCATTTCTAGCCAGCCACCACTGAAGTTTCCCATTTCCGGCAGCAGGGCGGAATCGTGGCTTCTAACAACATACCTTGATGATGATCTTCGGATCTCGAGAGGAGATGGTGGCAGTATTTTTGTCCTCATCAAGGCAGGCAGCCCCCTTCTGTCTCCGTAGGCATGTTACTTATTTTCCTGTAGAATTCTGTGTAATACAGGTGAATTAATACTGGTGTATAACTGTATTGACATGTACAAGAATTTAAAGTGAAAAAGAACTTCAAGGTTTGGCTATGTAATAAAAAATTCGCATGCGGCATCGTTATATGTAAATCTTTGTGGAACAATTCCTTTTTCATTTTTCTTTATATGTAAAAGGTAATTATATTCACACAACTTCTTTTATTCTCTCCACCATATTTTAATTGTACTCAAGGTTCTTAATCTTTGTTCATTATAGTATTTATGTTTTTAATAATTTTTCATGTCATTTTTATCCTCAAATTTTTCAGTAGTTAACATAATTTGTATTTTATAACAATTTTATGTCTAAAAATCCGTTGAAATGACATTAAAAAAAGAGTTATTTTTCATCATATTTTTAGAAAATAAATAAATAAAAAGTAAGCAAAAATATTTTTTCATCATTTCAAAGCATGAAAACAAAATATTTTGATATAAATCATCATCAAAGACGAGACGTACTAATTAGTGGAATGTTGAAAATAAGAATTCGACGAAAAAAGTTAAGGAAATAATTGCTATAATAAGGAAATATTAAGTAGTTTAATTGTAATTAAAATGTGGTGTATTAAATAAATCTATGTAAATCTATGTAATTAATTTTCATTTTTCTGTGGACAATTCCTTTGTGGAACCGTAGATTGATGTTGGGCCATTTTGTGAAAAATGTTGTTGTTGGACTATTGGGCCTAAAATTCTCTATTTTATCCTCCTTAGCCCAAATTGATTACGGCATTAGCCCACATTTACAATGAGAAGAAGCCCAAAATGAAAGATTATCGAAACGGAATCAAATCATTTATAAATTGGAATATGCTTTCATAATTCAGTCTTGGGTTCATCAGTGTGCAACAAAATGACAAAAACAATTTTTACACCAATGAAAGTTTGACACTAAGGATGACGTCAAAAGTGGATTATTGTTCATAATTTTTAAGGCTCTGTTTAGGAGGAATTAAATTTTTCTACAGTAAATCAATTTTTATTTTCAACCACACATTCTTTAATAAAATAATATTTTCCATCATATCAATAATTTTTTCTTCTTTTTCAACCACACATTTTCCATCATATTACTATTCAGAATCAATTTTTTCCCCAAAAATCTCTCCCAAACAAGCTAAAATCCACCAACCACAATACCTAACCGGAACAAAGGAAATAATTCTCTAACAATAGTAGGAGTTTGGTAAAATAAATTAAATTACCAAAAAACCCTTACGCCCAACCACTACGATGTAGGCGGAGCATCCGAAGGACTACTTTACCCCCCCTTCTTCTCCCCCACCCTAAGTGATATAGTGAACGAACATGACAGCTAAAACAAAGGCTCTCCCCTGAAAGATCCGAGGTTTGGTCTCTCCGAAGTTTCAGTGTTGGGTTCAAAAGGTAATAACTCAATGGCCGCTGCTTTGTTCGCTAATGGAGAAATCGCCACCGTCAAGCCCTCTGCCAACAGCCGTTATTCTGCCGTCTACAGTGAAGTACAGAATAGCCGCCTCGATCACCCTCTCACTCTTCCCTCCGTCCTCAGAAGCGCCTTCAAAGTCGTCGATGGACCACCTAGCTCCGCCGCCGGCAACCCTGGTATATACTTACACATTTCCCTACACCTGTTAAGTGCTTTGGTCCGTGATGTAATGTACGTACCATATGAATAGGAAGTTGATCTGCTGATGAAAACATTTTGTGATCTCGTAAATTTATTCATTACTTTGGTTCTGAACTGAGTGATTGAGTTTTTAAACTTTTTTTTGTTGCGTTTGTTTATTGAGATACATTGATCTGAGAAAGTACTTCATGATCTCTGGAACTGTTATTGCCATTTCTTTTGCTAGATGATGAAATTGGAAGGTTTAAGAAATTAGAGTCTTATATGAAATTCAATGTGAAGTTTCGTTTCGTTTAGTTTAGTTTGTAGGTAATTGCTCATTTGGTCAGACCTTGGGTTTGCTTCCCAATGGTCATCAGTTCGAGTCCCTTCAAGGCCACTGAGGTGAGTACCGACCGTAAACTTCAGGCCCCGTGGAATTAGTCGAGGTGCACGCAAGCTCGCCCGGACATCCACGGTTATCAAAAAAAAAAAGTTTGTAGGTCTGGACAACAATAGCCTCTATATATGTGAAAATGAATTTTTTGTTGGAAGAATAGAGTAATTTCAACTATTTGATTTCTGATTGATGCATGGCCAAATTTTAAGTTGCGAATTATAAAATTTTAATTATTCCTGTCAACTTACATCTTTCGATTGAATTTGAATTTTTAAGAGTTACATCGTTCCAGCACCATCTTGATGCAACATATTCATACTCCAGCCTCTCCAACAGCGCTCTAAACTGAATTTGATGATTGGTGGTTGATTGTAGATGAAATTGCCAAATTGTTTCCATCCATGTTTGGACAACCATCTGCAATGTTGGTACCAGGTGCTTCAGGTGATACCCCATTGGTTCAAGGCTTGAAGATTGGAGTGGTTTTGTCTGGAGGGCAAGCTCCAGGAGGACACAATGTTATTTCTGGAATTTTTGGTTAGGGTCTCCGAGTTTCACAATTTGTACTTGCATGTTGCAATGTTTTCTTTCTGAATTGAATAGGCTAAGTTTTGTGTATGGGTTGCAGATTACCTGCAGGATCATTGCAAAGGGAGCACAGTGTATGGGTTCAGAGGTGGACCAGCTGGGATCATGAAATGCAAATATGTGATTTTGACCCCAGAGTATATTTATCCTTACAGGAATCAGGTAACTTTCTTCTTTATGCACATGATATTCTTATTATTTTGCTGATTCATTTTCTACTAATAAAGCCACCACCTTATTTCACTCCCTGTGTTTGATCACGTTCATGTTCACATATGTTTCTAGTGTGATGGTAAATTCAAAAAAATATGTCCTTAAAATCCACAATTTGTTATGTAATTTAAATACAAAGAAATTATTTGAAACCCCAGTGCATACTATTCTCTATAGTATCTGATTGTTTTGTATTTTCCTGGTTAGTTTATCTGTGATGTAATTATGGTTTTGTTCATGTGGAATGCTTAAAGATTAGGGTTCAATTGCCATTTTGCGTATAGGTTTAAATAATATTTAACATGCCATTAAAGATCTAAACTATAGTGATTATAATTTTGGTATACAAATCGGCAATATGCTTATTACTGATTGATTGATTGGTTAAAGCCTAAACCATTCAAGTTGAGTAGCATCTATCTGATTTGCAATATTTCTATCAGGGTGGATTTGATATGATTTGCAGTGGAAGGGACAAAATTGAGACTCCAGAGCAGGTATATGTTTACTTCTACTACACATTATGAAACTTGTTTGTAGATAATCCTCCCCATTTGAGATTGAAATACGTTGATTGAACTCATTTCAGTTTAAGCAAGCTGAAGAAACAGCACTTAAGCTTGAGTTAGAAGGGCTTGATGTAATTGGTGGAGATGACTCAAACACAAATGCTCTGAAGAAACAGCACTTAAGCTTGATTTAGATGGGCTTGTTGTAATTGGTGGAGATGACTCAAACACAAATGCTTGCCTTCTGGCTGAAAACTTTAGGTAAGTATTCTATTGCCTGTAGAAATTGTCATCACTTCTGGATCATTGTTTTGTCTCTAAAATCTTCTCTTTTGAACCTAGGTCTTTTATAATGGCATATCATTAAATATATGGGATTTCTAATGTATATACTGTGGCTGATTTCAAGCTTTTATGTTTGTGTTATTTCAGGAGTAAAAATCTGAAAACTAGGGTCATTGGATGTCCAAAGACCATTGACGGTGACTTGAAATGCAAAGAGGTTCCCACAAGTTTTGGGTTCGATACTGCATGCAAGGTGATATTAACATTCAAGAATTGGTATAAGACCAAAAGTACAACTCTAGCAGAAAAATGCGAAAGATATACTGAACTTCAGATAAATTGATCTACAGAAAGAAAATGTCTTCCAAGTTTCATTACCATTTTACTCCACCAGAACATTTCGGCCATAGGCCTACTGTTCTTTCACTATAGCCCAGTTGAGCTGAATCACAATCAATAATCAATGCTATCACGTTATGTTAATCATCCCTAGTATGATTGTCATCACGAAGTAGCTAGTCGAGATGTTTCCTTACGTGTCAACCTCCTTGGTGGCAATTTCATACTTCCTATTTATATGGAGCAGCGAAATCAAATTGCAAGCTCCTATTTTCTTGCTCTGTGGTAACGGTAGCTTTTCCACATATAAAGATACTCGGTCAAATTCCTACAGCGTTTTGTGCCTTCTTTCTTCTCGTCCAACTCACAAACATCTCAAGTTTTTAAATAAGTTTGATTTCCCAGCATTTTTTTCGAAGATTATTTCTTGTTCCAGATTAAAGTCAAGTATGACTTCCTCTTCTGTTCTTGTGATTCTATTTTAAGAGTAATGCCCCTCGAGGAATAGTTAAATGTTTCGTTCAACAAAAGTGGTAGAGATTCTGCAAGCAGTCTGTCAAGAATTTTCTTGTTATTTTTTACTATTAGAAAATGGTTTATAATATATTGGTAGTTTTTATTCCACTTGTCCAGATATTTGCTGAAATGATTGGGAATGTCATGGTAGATGCCCGTTCAACTGGAAAATACTACCATTGTAAGTGCCCCAGTGCTGGTAATATGTATTTGGAAGGAACCCGAACCAAGTTTTCCTTTCAATATCTATTTTCCATCTGAGAATTTTTTATGTGCACATGCCAGCTGCAGCTGTATGTATTACATATGACTTTAATACTAAAGGAGCTTAATCAAATTCAATTATATATTCTATTTATACTTGGCGATTCAAAGATTTGATTGCACGAGTAAGGTCCTACTGTTCTTTTTGCATTCCATGGTTTTTGTCTTTATAACAGTTTAATTCAGAACCACTGTCACTATTCTTTTCGGAAAAGAATACCTAAATTGAATGCAGTCATTTTGAGGGTGTTTGGTGGGGATTAAAATTAGAATTTTAGTAGATTGTGGTAGAAGTTTTTGAAATATGTGGTTGAAAAGTTGTGGGATCCATGAAAGATGTGGTTAACATTAATTGTTTGACTTTGACTTGGATTAAAATCAGATTTTTATCCGGACCAAACATGGGCTTTATGTCCTTAACCGTGTCCACTTTGCTAAAGTAAGCACTTCATTGTTCTTGCCTGGATACCCTTTAATGGCATTCTCACTTCTGTACTTTTCATGCAGTAAAAACATGTGGCCTGGCTCATAGCTTTGACATACATTAACAGAGAACTACAAAGGAAAAAAAAAGGGCAGACAAAACACTTCTTAGTTCCTACCTCAATAATCAAGCCTAGTTAAAATGAAGGCACGTCGTTTGGGACTGGGGAGTATTACTTGAAATTCTCTAATAACTAGTGGTTTCATATCTATAGGAACCATTTTTTTCCCATCAGCTTAGTGCTTTACCTTTCTCCGTTTAAGATCTACATTCATGTGGGTAGTTAAAAAAATTGCTGGAACTTTGTAGACATTTTTTATCCTGTTATTGATTTCTTCTGATATTCTTGATTGTTTATCCTGTTATTGATTTCTTCTGATATTCTTGATTGTTTATCCAATTCTTGCCCACCTTATTATATTATTCATCTATATTTGAAAGCTTGCTGAATAACTTACTCTTTCTTTATAATTTGATTTATTTGCTATTTATCAAAATAATCAGTCCATGTATTCCCTATTAGTTGTACAACATTTTCTTTTCAATTGTTACTCTTTTGTCTCAGCAGCTTTGAACTATAAAGACATTAATCTGTGTAAATATTCCCAGTTGTTCGACTTATGGGGCGTGCTGCTTCACACATTACCTTGGAATGTGCTTTGCAGACTCATCCAAACATCACTCTTATTGGAGAAGAGGTACCTTTCTAATTTGGCATTCCTCTTCCTGTAAGCCTAATTTAATAATGCATTTTACCCATCGAATAATAATTCTATTAGCAGAGTGTTTGAACTTTATATTCCACCTTTTCTGCTTCTGTTTTGCATATTGTTTATTCTCGAAAGGGAAGGAAAAGGAACAAGACACAGTTGTGACATAACAGTAGGTCAATTAATTTTGATTACTTCTCTAGGTTGTTGGTTCAGTCGAAGATGAGCAAGTAGGATATCTATCGAGATTGTTATTAAGAGACAAATGAAGAAAGAAAAACAAAATCCTCAACAGATAAAAACTGAAGACAATGCATCTAATTAGTTAGAAAGGCAACTTCTTTCTAGCTCAGTCAAAGATGTCTTGAACTTCTAAAGGTTAGCCCAAAGATATGCTAAGAAGAATGGAGAGACAGAAGCATTCTAAGAGGTCCAAGGAAAGTTAACTCGTATAGTATTACTATGCTAGAATATGAATGTCGTGTGCAATCTCATATTGTTACAGTGTGGATAGAACAAGAGAGCATTTGTGTGTGTGTGTTTAGGTTGGAATATGCTTACAGACAAAATGAACAACAGTTAGCAAAAAGTAACCTTTCAATGTCTCGAGTAAAAGATTTAGTTGATGGAGATGGGTTAATAATTTGCGTTTCCAACCCACCTTCTCACATGCCGTCTGGAGTCCATTTTCAGGCCTAGCACGTGCAATTACCTGAGGATGGTGACTCGACTCAATGCCAAGACCTTTGCTTCTAGTTCACATGTTGAATTGAGTCGTGTAGATATGTTTATTTTAGCCTGTTAAATATTTAAATTGATGCATACTATTTACAAGGGGCAAATGAACAAATTCCCTGCGATCATGTGACCTTATGTTATAGATTATGCATGATTTGTTAAATTATTTCAGAAAGCATGATTTGTGAAGATTTTGAAGCATTTTGGCCACCCAACGAAATTAAAAGGATAAATGAGTAGAGTCTTAGAGTTAAAATCTTGAGTTTAGGTAGTTATTATTAAATTTTCTGAAAGACTTCCTAAGTTGAATTTTTGTTTCTTAAGTAGTTCTAATCTTGCTGCAGGTTGCTGCAAATAAACAGACTCTTAAAAGTGTTACAGACTACATTGCTGACGTGATCTGCAAACGTGCAGAACTAGGACATAATTATGGTGTGATACTCATCCCAGAAGGGCTTATTGATTTCATCCCGGAGGTGAAATTGTGTTCTGTGATTTTCTTCAACTGTTGTTGCTTCTTTATTATCATATTTCTCTTGGCTCCGCCAAGCCTGCGAATGTGTATATATTTCTCCACAGAATTTATTTTGCTGCTCTTTTGATCTATTTTTTTCTTTGCTGAATTATTGTTTTGCTGATATTTATCATTGATTACAGGTCCAGCATCTCATTGCAGAACTAAATGAAATATTGGCTCACGAAACTGTAGATGAAGCTGGTCTTTGGAAAAAGAAACTCGAACCCCAATCTCTTCAGCTTTTTGAACTTTTACCTCCAGCAATCCAGGATCAATTGATGCTTGAGAGAGATCCACATGGAAATGTCCAGGTAAATGTTGTCACGGCGTCAATTTTCATATTCATATTTCTGTATCATGGCGTTTAGGTGGGTTATATGTTATTATGTAATCCCCCTCCAGGTTGCCAAAATTGAGACAGAGAAAATGCTCATTCAAATGGTTGAAACTGAGTTGGAGCTAAGGAAGCGAGCAGGTGTTTATAAAGGCCATTTCAAAGGACAATCTCACTTTTTCGGGTACTTGCTAATTATACACATTTTCTAATTATTACTTTTTTTGAGTACTTGTTAGTTATACACATTTTCTAATTACATCTCTCTCTCTCTCTCTCTCTCTTATACAAATGCTTTTTCTGAGCCTTTCTCCTTTGCGATGATTAGAATAGGGCAGAAAATTTGTTGACTGAATATCTACCGCGTTATGTGATTTTCACCTCCACAGATATGAAGGAAGATGTGGTTTACCATCTAATTTTGATGCCACGTATTGTTATGCTTTGGGTTATGCTGCTGGAGCACTACTTGAAAGTGGAAAGACTGGATTCATATCATCAGTATGTGCTTTAGCTCACATAATTTCCCAGTATGGTTCCATCTAGTTGTTTTAGGTTAATTCTGGACTGTTTGAGTGTCAAAATTTCACCTCAGTTGCTAATATGAAAGATCTTATAGATAAATTTGGGATCAGTCTAGTACATGACTTGTTTCATCCATCCAGGTGGGAAACTTGGCTGCACCAGTTGAAGAATGGACCATTGGCGGAACAGCATTGACCTCGTTGATGGATGTTGAAAGGAGACATGGTATACTGATCGCTTGTTCTCATGTCTTGCAGCTTTACATTCACTGAGAAGCATTAACTTTTTTGCGAGTTAGCCAACTGGGGGTTGGGTTCATTTTGATGGGAATGTTCAAATGGAATAGGTGTTTGTGTTGGACATCTCTTTTATCTTGTTTCTACACCTGACGTAGAACTTGTTCTATTTCAGGGAAGTTCAAGCCTGTCATAAAGAAGGCAATGGTCGAGCTTGAAGGTGATATTTTTTTTTTCTTTAATTATGCACTCATTTGTGCATATTTGCTTTTTTTTTACTAGAACATAGTTGCATCCTTCTTTGGTTGCCATCTATTGCTGGAAGTAGTGACCCCGTATGTTTCCTTTCCTTGTATGTACCGATTTGTGATTATGGACCAATCTGAAACCTAATGTGCGGATAATTGTTTCAGGTGCCCCATTCAAGAAATTTGCATCAATGCGAGAAGAATGGGCTCATAACAACCGATATATCAATCCTGGTATGCTTATAATCACTCTGATTCTACTATCTAGTATTCGGGTTGGATTTGGTCTAGTTTATTAAAAATGAAGGCACAATGAGTGCAGAAAAATGAGTACTCCAAGGTTGTACTTCTCTTTGATCATATTAGACATTAATTGCTTGAAAATATTCATTCTTTAATTAATACATATGATTTTGAGTTCCCTTTTCACAGTGAATATCGGTTGTTCCTTGTGTAGTTGTGTTGACTCCATTTTCCCACTGTATTTACAGGTCCCATTCAATTTGTTGGCCCGGCATCTTATAAAACTAATCACACCTTACTGTTGGAGCTTGGGGCACAAGTATAAACTTCCTCGTGAGAAAATTGCTCCAAGTAGTTGAGCTTCGCGGCCTTTGGGATGTTCAATTACCAGAAGTTTCTTTGTTATTTTAATTTTGGTGTATCATCCGTGAACTATTTAACTCTGAATGTAACTCTTTGAGTTTAGACCTTTTGATTGAACTAGTACATAAAATAAGTGTTTTTCAAAGTGAAAACATCATTGGTCAAAGTTTGAATTCTCTCGTTTAACTGACTAGTTTGTGTACTCATAAGATGTCTTAGTTTTGTTCAGTCATTGGATTTTATCATTTTAATCTCCTTTTTCTTTTAGTGCAAATTGGGTATTTAGACTAGGTGCTTGTTTGATAGAACTTTGTTAAAACTCTTAACATGCAACGAAAATGTTACACACATAAAAGAGATAGGATTCATCAAGAATTTTAAAAATACGATACGACTAGAGAAATTTTTTCAAAGTCATACCCTCTTAATGACCAATGTCCATTCACACCTGAATTTAGCGACTAGTATAATTTTTATATGATTCTTTGTTGAACCATGCTAAATGAACATAGGGGATAACCGAACACACACACCTCGGAGGTCGGGCATTATTTTATTCACTCGGGACCCACTCGCAATATGAGGGTCGATCACCCCTTCGATCATCCATTTTCGGGCACACAGCATAACTGATTCATTTTAGTTTGTCTAATTTCAAAAGCTAGTCAGGACTTTTGAATGAGCCAAAGACTCCTTGGCAATTGGTGGATAATAATTTGCCGTATTTCATGTCACTGTTTCAATGATTTAAACATGGAAAATTTATTTCCAAGGGCAAATTACAAGATATAACATCAAAGTTGTCCATTTTTATTGCATTTTCAAGTTTTGGTCCAAAGTAAAATAATAAAGGGACAGTTCCAGCAGCATATAAGATCGTCTATCAGGTACAGAAAATGTAAAATGTAACTTCAGTTATATAAACAATTTTCTTGTAGTCTAGGGGTAAAATTATCAATTTTTGGTTGGGCAGACGAGGATCAAATACCATTATATTTTTTAAGAAATTTGTGCAATTAGTCCTCAATTTTTAGCATCTCTGGCTAATCTATCCCCAACTTTTAGATCAATTTGTATATGCAGTTTACAAAAATTGATTTGTTATATGTTTTACTAACAAAGTTTATGAATAAACTTTTCTTCAAATATCGCTATCTAAAAATTGTCGCTACATCGTCGAATGCATGTCGCATGCGTTGTAGCACCACTAACAGCCGTGATGTCCACACAAACTAAAAATTCTGATTCAATCTCTACTCACAAGATTAGATAACTTGGTTTTGTGAGGAGATGGGCCAAGCCTGACTTTCTACATTTTATGTGGTCTATTTTGATCCCTAGGCACGCCTTTGGGTGAGTTAACCGACACACGCCTATAAGTCTTCAATCTGGACAATTCCGATCCACTTTGACACCACTACTTATGGTCATAGTTGTGAGTTTACCGTTTTTTTGGGACTATTCTTAGCTAGAAATTGTGTTTTAACAAGTTGTATGGTTGTGTATTTAAGCTAAAACAGTTTGTGGCGGTAGTGCTACGCTATTAAATTTCATGGCCGGTGATCAATGTGGCGGGTGGTTCCGAGTTAATTAATATGGGTTGGGGTCGAGTTTTTTCCACGTCTGACGATTCAGGCACGTGTAGGACGATTAAGGAAAGTTAATAGTGTCTGAGTGGGTAAGACTTTGGACAAGGATATATATCCGTTGGTACAGGGTCCATTGCCCGTTTATGTTGCACTAATGTGTTCCTAGGCAGTTGGTTGTTAGCTGCACATTGCATGCTTGTTTAAATGTTAATAAGTTATGTTACTACATTTGGAATTATCGTGAAAAAGACGGGATAAAGCAAACATGTCAATTGTATGCCATGTGCAATTGTTATGGCAATAAAGTAAATAGCAGTTGACAAGTTTTTTTTTAGTCGCTCAAGTCATCGTGCCAACGATGCTTTGTGTTACGTCTTTGACTACGTGACAAGCCACATTACTACTAGTTAATTTGCAATATATTGATAAAGATACATCCCATCGTCTTGTCGACCATTATTTTCTAAAGCGTTGAGAGAACAACCTAACGTCTGGTCAATGAGCAACTTCGATGCAACACAACTTACTGTAAAGCTAGACCTATTGGATCCAAGGTGATTAGAGGAGACTCTATCCTTAGTCACATCAGTTGAGCCTCCGGTGCTCGAGGGTCAACTCTAAGGTGCCTCATGCAAGTTGTATACTAATACAAGGAGTCACGAGAGAAACGATGGATGCGATACCTTGTGCAGCGAGTCAAATCCTCTCTTCCCTACCTAGGAAAGTGTACGAGTGGTGCAGACCTATAATGTGTAGGACGCGACATCATGGCAATTGAATTTGGCTGCTAGAGGTTGGGATGAAGCCATGTGTCATAGTTCGAAGAGCCTCAATTCATTTCTCTTGCCTATATATACTCGCAAAGTCGCACGTGATAATTTGATAAAGGATATTCTCAATCTACAAATATAAACCCCACACATCTAATATATTTTTCGTTGAATGGCTAAAGTGTCCAAGTGCCTATGATTGCAGTCACCACGGCATGTGTTTGAAGAGACTTCAATTTTTCACACGTAATGCGTGCATTCCAAGTGCGCAAGTAACTTACACTTGGAGGGGTGAAGGTGGAATTTGTTGGGGCAGTTGTATGGGTGTCATTTTGGCTCGTCGGCTCGAGCAGCCCGTGGTTGACCCGGAAAAAGCTCGACTTGCCTATCTTGTGGCTCAATAGAACCAAGCTGAGGCTTGGACAGAGCCTTATTTTGGGGCGTCGGCTCGAGTCCGAGCTAACCTGTGTGGCTCGACAAGTCACACGAGCCGCCCGTGTAACGAGCCATTTTCGGCCCATAACGAGCAGAGCTTTAAAAAATAAATAAAATCTGCAAAACTAAAAATAAATAAATAATTTAGCTGCCTTGTTGCTTTACAAGATTTTACCCCATTTACAATCAGGCCTAGTTTTAAACTACTCAATTCAAAATTAACATTTAAAAGTTTTTTTTGTACAAAACTCAGGTTGACTGAGCTGAAATTGTTGTTGAGTTCCATTGTCTTGGGTTTCTTGGGAGAGAAAGTGGGAAGCATATTGTAGAGAGATTTTAGATAGAGTCGATGGTTTTGAAAAAGTTACAAAAACCATGTTGTCCATGTTAGTTTGAACGGGTCGACTAAAAATATTTCCTTAACAAAATAAAAGAGTCAGTGGGGGAGGCACTGTTCATGCCAGATGTCAAGAATTTGAATCGTCAACCAACACGACGCCGTTTTGTTAACCACCTTTTCCTACTACTTCACACCACTTCTACCCTATTTTGTCTGCTTACCATTTTCAATCATCATCTTCTCCTCCAGATTTCAGTCTGTAGCAATACTACCGCCAAGAAATCGTAGGAAATTCGGCCGATCAATAATTAGAGAACAATATTTACAAATAATTAAGAACAATAATTAAGAATAATATTTACCAGTAATGATTTTGAACAATAATTAGAGAAATTCGGCAAGGAATTGAGTCGGTGAGTACCCAAGACTAATTTTCTTGGCGACGTTCATCTGGGCGGTTTCCGGGTCATGATTTTGACCGGACGCAAGTGACAATTGAACTTCAAACTTCTCTTTCAAGAAATTAAATCCTACTATTAGAATTCAAATTAGAAACAGAATTCTTATTTTCCTGTGAATCTGGAGCAGGTTGAATTCAAATAGAGTTCTGGTCAGATGAAGGTTAAGATGGCAATGAAGATTGAGATAGTGTAGCTTGTCTCCGTGCGCAACGAAGACACCGTATTTCCGTCTCGCAGGGAGACCTTTGGTTGGTGATTTCTTAATTTTCATTTAGCTGCAGAAAGTTCAAAAGCTTTTATTTTGATTAATAATCTGCGATTCATTTCTCTCCATTACAATTTTAGGTTAATAGTTTTATGTATCTCAATGTTAAAAAAAAAACTCATGCGCACATGAAGACATGGTCGATGTCTGTGCGAGACACGCCAGCACAAGCTAGGATGGAGGTATTTGCCTCCATCTTAGGATGGAGGCATTCATGGTATGGAGGCATATTCGTGTGTCTCCATCCGTGTACGGAGACACGAGGAATTGTCTCCGTGCCGCAGCGTCTCGGTGCACGGGGTGAAGGCACATGTTCGTGTCTCCGTCCTCACACAGAGACACAAAGAAACATCTCCGTGCCGCAGAGCCTTAGTGCACGACATGGAGACAACTGAATAAATACCATATATCTATTAAACTCAAGGATCAACTTATTTCAATCCTGTTTTGCCAACTGAATTTGGACACCCACTTTATTCCAGGTAGTCATTATTTTTCTCTATCCCTTTGCAAAACCTATTTTTGTTTAGTCTTGTTTATTGTACCTATTTTGGGAATTCTGTTAAGCTCCACCACATCTTGCTCCGGCGTCTGAACTGTATTGAGATTCCACAGTGAGAGTTGTATTGTATTGTTCAATTTTGTTTTGCCAATTAATTTTAGGCATCATTCTATTCCACATACATGCTATTATTTCTTTATCTCTCTGCAAAACCTCTATTTGTACATCAAAGATAGGGCTTGCAGTGATTCAAATCCACGTTTCCTTTCTCAATATAATTATTTGAATGAGCTATATTCGACTCTATTTTTAGTGGGCTTACAGTGAATAAAGCACAAATTTCCAATAACATCGTCGATTCAGCTTTAGCATCAATTCATGCGATTAGTATGAGATTTAATCTTCATTTTCCTCGTTCCTCTATTAGTATTTTTTAAANAGAGGTACCTTTTATTCCAAGAAACCCCTAATTACTTATTTGAAGGTTGTATTTCGGCACATTGTTGTTATGTAACTGAGTGAGATCAGCCTGAACAGTGCATACACGTGCTTGAGACTTGTTTTGGGAGATGTTGGTAGTGCTTTATCTGTGGATATGAATTAGGGGTAACAATATTTGTTGCCATGACGCGATTGAAACATTATGGCAAATATAATAGCATTTGAATTAAGGAATTTGATAGAGCAATATGATTAATTTTCTCTAAATTTGTGTAGTTATCAGTCTCATTTGTTTTTGGATGTAAGTACCATTACAGCGCATGACTTGTGAAATTTTGCTTATACATGGCCTGAATTTACATTTACTATCAATAAATTGATTATTGCAATTTCATTTCGTCCAGTTTTTGGATTGAAGACACATGCCTAATTTGGTTTTCGTTATTGAGGTGAGGGTAACATGTTTCGATTTTTGAGCCGTGTAGATTCAGTAAACTAGCCCAGAGCCTTGCATATATCGTGCCTGATTGTATATAAACAAACGAACTTCCCAATATCCTCTCCTTTTTGTGGTAGTAATGTCCGTAGTGGTTGCTTGGCACATCGTATCCATTATTCTGCATAATATTTCTTCATCCCCTCTCTTTACATTGAATACATCTTTTTAATAGCTAGTAGCCATCATTATTTTTGTGGTTTTCTATTCATTTTCAAGCTTAAATTGAGAAGGAAGTGGAAAGAAATAAATTAAAAATATGTATAGCTGGTTTCCCAATGGTGTCAGATTCAAGCAAAGACTGTTAACGATGGTAAAGGGAGCAGACTCGAGGCGGGTTGAGAGAACAAGTAGAGGTACAAGTCGATTTAGCTAAACCTGGAGATAACCTGCCATGTTGCCATTCCTACTAACCCCTGTCCCCCCACACAACGAGGAGAGAGGGATGGGTAAGAAACAAGAAATATATGGTGAAGATTGACAAATTATTTTCCAGGGCATGGATATCTTGAATTGACTGTAAAATAGGGATTGTAGCCAATTTAGAAATTTGATAGCTTCTCTATCACAATCACATTCCCTCAAAATAGCTTTCATCCTTAGTTCTTTTTGGATGATTAACATGCTTGAATAAATTTAAAATTTGAATATATGTTGGAACTATTGTGTTTTATCTAATCAAATTGCTTGTTTTCATTGTTTTCTACATCTATTTCATCACTTCTCTTTTTATCTTTGATGCGCTCTTTTGATGCTTTATAAATTGAAGTCTCCTTCTCTTGGTTTACATACCTGACCTATATATCATAATTCTTGCAGTTGCATGCTAGTTCAAGATCCTTCGAAGGGTAATGATGTGGATGCAAGTAGGCAGATGGGAGTCATACAAGGGTCCTTGGAGAATTTTTCAACCATCTTCAGGCTCGAGGAGCTTTGCTGGGACCGGAAGATTACTCTGGTGAAATTGTACCATCTGCTCCTCAACAGCCTGAGTCCTTGTACACAATTTTGTTTTCTGGAGAAATGGTTTCACAGATAATGATGGTCCTCTGAGAAGGTTGGATGATCCTGAAAATGCACCATTTCTGGAGGTAACAGGCGATGGGCATTGGGCTATAGATGTAACAGAATAAAAATAGAAGATCAATAAATATGGGTTTAATATCATCTATGCCTTGTATTTCTGATTGAAATGCTAGAATTGTATTGCTAGTAGCCAATTTACCGACATTTTATGTACACACGTAAGAATTAGTAAATAAACCATTAGTTCACAAATTTTCCAGAATACAACATCTGTTTAAATCTCATTAAACTACTCTCTCCCCTTTTTATCCAACATTCTCTATCGCCTGCGCGTGTATCATTTCTATAGATTATGCGCAAAGATTGTTTCATCAAAATACATCTTCAAGTTTTGACCATCGTTCCCTTATTTTATTTTGATCATGTAGTCTTTAAGGATGCAATGGGTAGTGATGATATTTAACTGCAGAGCATCAGAAAATCCGAGTGCCCTAAAGAGCTGGAACCTGCTGACAGAAGATCTTCTGTTCACATTAATCTCGTAAGGAAGGATAAATATTGCCCTGTAAGTCTGTATAACATCTTTTTTGCTTCTCTTCAGCTCTTCTCCTTTCGAGACAGGCTTGAGAATAATTTTTTCATTGCTTTTTTCTGAGGTTGTCTACCTTGAGTTTACTTTCATAACCTGACAGTTCTGAAGAGCGAAATGTGGGGGACTTAAAAAAGATTTTCCCGGCTTCATATTCTTTTAGATCAAATGTTAGTGAGAGAAAGGAAGATTAGTTGGCGCAAATTGAGCTATTTATTTTGTTTTCAACATTATTCACTTCTCCTTTCTGATTTCTAGAAGATCAACATTCCTTTTTTTGTTTCGATTTTCTAACCCTTAGCGTAGTGGCAATGCACAACTCGTGTGTGCATGTGCAAATGTGAAATAATCAGTGAAAAGTTGATATCATTTTCTTTACTTGCAGGAACCAGAGAAACGTCGTACTCCATTTCAAGGTGTGGGTAGAACCCTAGGAAGTAGGACAAATCACTGCCATTCACCACAATTCAACTTAGGCTGGCAGATGAGCTAGCCATGTTGTGATCTTTCATACATTTTCCCGTAATATGCATCTGCTTAGTGGTGTGTGAAGTAAAATTTCATCCTTTGTTCAAACTAAATATCGGAGTATTCATACTCGGGTCTTGCATAGTGATTGCGCTTACTGTTATGTACTCTAGAAGTAAACCTACACGAAAGAACTAGGTAAGCCAGTTCCTTGTGCCGGAGTTAAGTTTTGCATGGTCCAGCATGCTAGAGAAATCTTGGTTCAATTTAATTTATAGTAAAATTAACATTTTTATTCATATTTCACAATAAAATTAACAGTAAAAGTATAAAACGACACACAGAGTGGTTGCGGGGCATCTAAGTTTACCTCCATTCATAGTGGCATGGATGAAGATGAGAAAAAGCAAAAGATTGTCGGCCAAAAGTTATACTCACGGTGTAACTATTATATATCTCAAAGATTTTTCCGTCGCCCTGGGGTCCCACTAACAAGAATGTGTCCAATGCAAGAGCCAAGAACCCTAATGGCTATTTACGTGTCTTATCATGCAAAACAATAGATGACCATTGCAAATATCATAAAACAAAATAAAATGCTAATTGGAAAGCTAAACCTTTCGTGTTATCATATATCAATTTCGACAATCGTTCAAACGAGCAATCAAATTTTAATAGTGCATTATTAATCGAGGAGTTATATTTCGAGATTATATTTTTAAACAAGTCATCATTTTATTGGATCACGTTACAATAAAAGATCTCGTTAGTTAAACATATAAAACACGAGAAACGATCTTGTAAACACCGTTACTTAACATATTATTATGAAACATTAGTCAACATATGAATTCTTGCTAACCTAAGTTTCAATAAGTACTAGATGGGAAAGAGGGAGGTGGGTGTATTTAATGGGCCACAAAAATCATTTAAGATTTTGGGGCGTGTGAAAAGTGGAAAGATATTATTACATGACAAAATGAGTTTTAACTATGAGTTTAAACCCTAAATTGTTTAGTGCATCATTCAATCACATACTGGAAAGGGGTTTTGCTTTATAATAGTCGTGTTAAAGTTAAGATCTAATTAAACCAGTTTAACTCAGAAAAGTGTGCTATTGATTGACATGTGGAAAAGTTAAAGAATAAAGATTAAGGTAATCCTATAAAGTGAAGACTAATTAAATCAAAATTGTACTATTTACTGAAATGTGGAAAGGGATAATTGAGATAAAGTGAAGACTAAACCAGTTTAACAGAAAAAAGGCACCAGGAAGGAGAGATGCAGGAACTATCTCGTAACTCTCAGAGCGAGATTATATATGTATTTAATGAATATTATTGAGAAAAGAATGCATTTTAAATAGTGATACGATGGAAAATATGTGGTTAAAAAGTAAAAAAAAAGTTATTGATGTGATAGAAAATATTATTTTCTTTAAGAATGTATGATTGAAAATGAATTTTGAAATAACGTGTATCAGACATGGACTGAATTTAATTTTCACCACACATTTTCATGTTTATAGGAAGAATTTATTCTGTTATCGAAGTCTAATTTTTATAAATTGATCTAAAAACATTACATGCATGCTCTAATGTCTGTGTCGACGCCTTACCAACACGATTTCTTCTGCTTTTCATCTTTGTATCATAGCAATTGGCCACATAATCATGCTACTTGATATAATTCTTAGAACTTGTTTGGAAGAGATTTTTGAGGGAAGAATTTATTTTAAATAGTGATACGATGGGAAATGTGTGATTGAAAAAGAAGAAAAAATTATTGATGTGATGAAAAATATTATTTTATTAAAAAATGTGTGGTTGAAAATGAGAATTAATTTACTGTAAAAAAATTTAATCCCTCCCAAATCGGACCTTAATATGATAAGCGACATTTTATCTTTGAACTTTAACGTCAAGTCATACTTTGTCAACACCGATTATGCCAAATCTCAACACTTTTCTTTAAGTGGCTTCGCTCTTGGCGAAATGCCAGAGGCCACTGGCGAGGACATGACGTAAAGTAAATACTAAAGCAATCTTGGAAAACCCTAGCCCTACCCTATTGGCCGGATGACTTGAATACGTACACACACATGCAATCTATTAGCTGTAAAAATCATCTGCTCTCTCTCTCTCTCCACTTTAAAAAAATCTGCTAGTTTTCTTTAAGGTGACGGGTTCCTGTGCAATATATTCTTGACAGCAATGAGGGTACAGAACCCTAATAATGTACTTAAACCCTAAACCCGAGCTTGAGTCAAACAATGGCTATATTCTAATTGTCTCAGCTCTGAATATTAATCCAATGACTACCAGTCTGCATGGCTTCATTTTGATATTTTAATGAGCTGTTTATTAGTATTGAGAAGTGGATAAATTGGGGAATATGCGATTGGGGGTAGGTTTTTTAATGATAAATTTTGTGGAAAATAATTTTTTTAAGAATGTAAGTTAGAAAATAGAAAAAATATCGTGAGAACGTGCAATTGAAAATAAATTTTTAAAAAAAGTTAAAAAAATCTATACCGAGGGCTAAATATTGAAATGGAAAGCACAAAATGGGAAAATTTAACCATCTTTTTGAAATTGTTTTAAGGTTTAATTCAGCATTGTAGTCTTCTAGTCAACTTGAAGCAGGAATGTCGTAAATATTTGCAAAATAAGGGGTTGGCGAATATGATAGTTATGGAGATTGTGAGGCGAAATCGGAAGACAATAATTAAAGTTCCATTGGGAGATTGTTAAAGTTCTTCGGAATTCATAATTTGGAATCATATCAATTTAAGTGTTAATTTCTGATTGATTGATTTAGAAAGCATTAATATATTCAAATTAGATTTTTGACTTATTTTCAATAACATATTCTTTCATAAAATATTATTACACGTAAGAGATGTTTTAAGTGTACATCTTTTTTGATATTGTGTAGAAATTCAAAATGTATTGGGCAGAACTTTTTTTTAAAATGTCTAAGCATATGCGACACGTGGTTGTTACGTTTAAACTATTTTTTTTTCTTTTAACTATGCATTCTTCAAATAATCATTATATTAAAATACATTTTATCCCAAAATCACATTAAAATGGAGCTAGTTATTGTCTATCGTCTGCCTCTATGGTAGAATGAGTCGGGAAGCCTGTTAGGATTGAAAATCTTGTATTTTACATAAATACGATTGATTTCTTAGGTTTCTGAAATAATTAAATGCCACATTTTTCATCAGAAAGAAAAAGCTTGAAACTTCAACTGGTGTTCGGAGTGGAAACACCAAGGAGAATGCTTTGCCCTTGTAATGATTAATTTGGTGACCTTTTCCTATTGTTTGTTGTTTCGAAAGGCAAAATTAGTATCATCTTTTTTGTAAGAATGTGTTGCGAGTCCCAATTTTTGTACAAGGCTATTAGTGTGGAGTTATTCACGCGAGGTGTGTTTGGGAGCCATTTTGGCCAAATTTTAATACAATTTTTGACCGTTTAAAAAGTTAGTGGAGTCCAGTTTTGCATAAAACGCTGACTGCACGACTAGTAAATACCGAAGTTGCCATTATTTAATCAAAGACTGATTTTATGTGGAAGGGCAAAATTGGTAATGTCACTAACACAGTCAAACATAGAAGCTCCTCACTGACACACAACTGTATAACGGCTATAATTCGGCTAAAAATCTGATACAAAATGTGGAACATACGACGCTAAATTGTAATTTTGGCAGAAATGTGCATTGGAATAGTGATTTTTTTTGGAGGACGCGGTAAAAAAAAAAAAAAATAATAATTAGAGTTTACGTGTAATATTATTTTATTAAAGCATATGTTGTTGAAAATCCATTCGAGTCGACGAAGTTAGTATTATTATCCGGTGGTTTTCGTAATAGAAGAGACATTTGACGATAAGTTGGACTTGGTTGGAGAGAAAAATGTATTTTTTTTTTGAAAAAAATGAGGTAAAACACAAGCATAGTCACAATTAATTGTATTGAATTTTGAGCAATCTTTGCAGAATACAACGAAACTGTATGGAGGCACGAGCAAGAGCATGTTATTTGTCACGCCCGCGTTGGTGGAATGCGCTCGCATATTATTAAAAGGTCGACTAGTTTAAGATATAAGTGTTACATCTGAAAAGTTAAGAATATAAATATTATGAAAGGTCTAGATCCTGAACCCATTGGCCATAATACGATTTTTCCATTAAGAGAAAATTTGTAGGAAACAAGGAAAAAAAAGTGCTGGGAAGAAGTCGACAATCCACAAGAGTAGAGAATAAGGGTCCGTTTGATTGTAAATGTGGAAAATTGGTGGAAAGAAAATGAATTCAGAATTCTAGGAAATTGAATTGTTTAGAAATTGTTTTATTGGGAATTGTAATTAATTGTGTTTGATTGATATAATTTTCCACCTGAAAAATGTTGAAAGTGTGGTATCCGTTTGACTTTGTTTTTCATGAAAATTGTCAATTAAAGTGATAATTTCTTTTACCATTAGGTCTAAAATTTGTCTTACTTGCAAATTTTTTTTTAAAGTTACCATTATGAATACCAATAGTTTGACTTTGTTTTGTATGAAAATTATTAATAAAAGTGATAAATTTTTTTACTATTAAGTCTAGAATTTTTCTCAATTACAAAAAAAAAAGCTGGAAAATGAAAATCCACCTAAAAGATGAGAAAGCAATTTCAACAAAATCAAGGAAAATGTGCACGTGTGATAGAAAGTGAGAAAAAATGGAAAATTTTTACTATCAAATAAGTCAACAGCTAGAAAATTGAAAGAGAATTCATAGTTTTAGGGAAAATTAAGGGTAACAAACAAGCCCTAAGGGTCCGTTTGATTGTAAGGGTGGAAAATGAGTGGAAAGAAAATGAATTACAGGGAAAGTAATTGTCTAAAAATTATTTTACAGAGAATTATTAATTAAGTGTGTTTGATTGGTATAATTTTCCACACATAAATTTTTTGAAATTTTGAATTTTTTTGTTCACGTTTGACTTTATTTTACATGAAAATTATCCATTAAAGTGAATATTTTTTTTACAATTGGTTATGAAATTCGTTACCATTGCCAAAAAGCAAAAAAAAAAATTGTTTTGTTCGGAAACTATTTTTTCATCAAAATTTAGTATTCGTTTAACTTCGTTTTACATGAAAAATGTTCATTAAAGTGAATTAAATTGGCCAGAACCTGAAATTTTCTTTTCCCACTAAAATGGTGGGAAGAGGAATTTCCTAAAATTAAAAAAAATGGGCGCGTGGGATGGGGGGAGGGATGGAAAACTTTTTCTAGGTAAAATTTAAGCCATCAAACATGGCTTTATGGTGGAAAATGAAATTTTTTTTCCATTTTCCAAGAAAAATGTTGGCTATCAAACATAGCCTAATAGAGTAGAAAACTCGCTCAGGCCTATGTTTCTATAAAATTAAAAATTATTAAAAAGTTACTTTTTATTGATTAAAATAAAACAAAAATTTAAAGATGTACATTCACAATTATTATCAATTTATCAACTTTCCTTTAAATAATATTAAAATTTTTATCCGAACACTTACTGGATTAACAGTAATCAGCAAATAAAACACAGTACTTGTGATTCCCTGCCCCAATATTATCGTCACAGCATAAACACTACTCAACAACTACACCTCGATTTGATAGTTCATCTCAATTATTTTGAATTCTTAATTAACAAAAACTCCATTCTGAGTACTAGTAAAATGGCAGTGTTTCAGTGGGAGTGTACAAAGAGTGTGATGGTTTTCATCGGGAAGGTAAAGCCTTGCAAATAAGTTAATAAATGGGCAATCCCTTCTTCTCTGCAAACACCGTGCGCTATCTGCAAATCTTCTCTCTTAAAACTTCTTTGCTGTTAATGACCATAAAGATAAAACAATTTTGCTATAGCGACAGACTCAACAACAGGGTAAATGATGAAGGAAACACATTGAACAGTTTGAAAAAAAAAATAAAAAAAATACAGCGTCCAATCCCGTACAGTGTCTTTCTTCATTTTTTTTTTAAATTATTTTATGGGATAAATGACAAAGTTACTACTTTACCCTTTTTAATTAGGTCAAAATTGGTCAACATCTACTTTTTTTAGTTGACTAATGGTCAACTTAACGGAAATCATCCATTTGGACTGTAGGTGCGAGTTTTTTAAAGGTTTGGGACTGTGGCTGGTGCAAATCAAAGGTTAGGGTAAGGTGCGCAAAAATCTGAAAGGTTTGGGACCGCTGCTGCAATTATCCCTAATATAAATATTATGAAAGGTCTAGATCCTGAACCCATTGGCCATGGTACGATTTTTCCATTAAGAGAAAATTTGTAGGAAACAAGGAAAAAAAAAGTGCTACTGAAGAAGTCGACAATCCACGAGAGTAGAGAATAATAATAGAAAATGAGTAGAAAACTCGCTCAGGCCTATGTTTCTATAAAATTTAAAATTATTAAAAAGTTACTTTTTATTGATTAAAATAAAACAAAAATTTAAAGATGTACATTCACAATTATTAGCAATTTATCAACTTTCCTTTAAATAATATTAAAATTTTTATCCGAACACTTACTGGACTTACAGTAATCAGCAAATAAAACACAGTACTTTTGATTCCCTGCCCCAATATTATCGTCACAGCATAAACACTACTCAACAACTACACCTCGATTTGATAGTTCATCTCAATTATTTTGAATTCTTAATTAACAAAACTCCATTCTGAGTACTAGTAAAATGGCAGTGTTTCAGTGGCAGTGTACAAAGAGTGCGAGGGTTTTCATCGGGAAGGTAAAGCCTTGCAAATAAGTTAATAAATGGGCAATCCCTTCTTCTCTGCAAACACCGTGCGCTATCTGCAAATCTTCTCTCTTAAAGCTTCTTGCTGTTAATGACCATAAAGATAAAACAATTTTGTATAAAGCGACAGACTCAACAACAGGGTAAATGATGAAGGAAACACATTGAACAGTTTGAAAATTTTTTTTATGTCGCAGGTTAGGGCTCCTGCCACCCTCACCCTCTTAACTCTCCGTCATTTGCCCTATTCGAGGAGTATTATTGAAGATAAAAACCACTTTTCAAGAGGAAAAATTTTAAAGAGACTACTTTCTCAGACGACTATTTAGAATTTTCTGGAAAAGGCTGAAACCAGTAGCATAAAACTCGGGAGACGAACACTCAAAAAGAGAAAGAAGAAAGAAACGGATAGCTAATGCAAAAGGGAACAAATAGGAGTGAGACAGATATATACCATCATTTTGGAAGTGTATGCGTGAGAGAGTGTGTGAAATGGAGGTTGGTAGTTCCAGTAGCACTTCATTTTTGATAGCTTTTGGGGACAACGTTAATGCTTTGTGTCCTACGATGCTGCCTTCGATGACTTCTCATAATGCAGATAGCAATACCCTATTTCTCCCTCTTCTTCCCACCACCAACAATCAAAACCTAAATCTTCACAAAAGCGCCGGTAATTCTTCTGTCATGGTTGAGGAACAAAATAACAGTACCAATACCAACAAAAATCCAAGCACAGGGTATTATTTTATGAAGCCGTGCTATAGCAACAACGACGACGACGGAGAACGGTCTTTCAAGGCGAAGATCATGGCTCATCCTCATTACCATCGTCTCTTGACTGCCTTTGTTAATTGTAAAAAGGTAAATAAGTAACCAAAGTTTTCAAATGAACTTTAAATACCCTAAAATCTCTGATCAAAAACTCTCTCTGAGGTTATACTCAAGATTTACTCTCTTGAATCAAGCCAAGGAAGAGTAGTGTAACAAAAACCTATAACTACTACTGAATAGAGTGGTATAAAGACAGTTTAGTGACCAGCCCCTCGTGTTATATCAGTATCTGAAGTCCTACCGGTCATGTTAAATAAATTTTCAGATAGGAGCGCCTCCTGAAGTGGTGGTAAGACTTGAAGAAGCATGTGCATCTGCGGCTGCAATGGGCCACAATGGAACAAGCTATATCGGTGAAGATCCGGCGCTCGACCAATTTATGGAGGCTTACTGTGAAATGTTGACAAAGTATGAGCATGAACTTTCTAAACCCATCAAGGAAGCCATGCTTTTTCTTTCAAGAATCGAGTCCCAGTTTAAAGCCTTCGCACTATCCTCTGATTCTGGTGATAAATTTCTCTCTCTCATTTCTTTTCATTCTCTTAATATAAGGCGTTTCTTCTTCACAGATCTTACTGTTTTTGGCTGGATTACTGCCTGATTTTGCTTATAATATATGTTTTAAAATTTTATGATTCTAGCACATGTTTGTTTGCAAGGAAATGAAGATTTACATTTTTTATTTGTAAAAGAACCTTTTCAAGATGCAATCCCTCCATTGTTTAATCTTACTTTATCCATACTTGTATTTAATAGTTTGTAATATGATATTGACTGTCAAGAGGAAGCACTCCTTTCTATGTTTGAGGTTCCAGTGGGAATTTCAATTGTTAGTGGACTAATTCTAATTAGATGTTCACATTTTAGATATCTAGAATTTAACTATTTCCACTTCTGAAGTGTAGTAGTAGTTATAGACTAACTGTGTGAATGTTGTTTGGCGTTGCAGGCATCAATTTTGTTATGCTCCATTTACCTTATAAATGGCGAACATTAAGATTTATGAGTAAAAAACTCGCTCTTGTTCAGGGTTACCTGATTGAATTTTGATCGCTACATCTAAGTAATTAATGAAGGAACGTCTATGCCACTGTTTTCTTAATCTGTCTGCAAATATCGCGTGTGCAATTTATAGTATGTTGTCTGCTTGTTTATTCCTCTAGTGTTCTGATAAGTCTACTACTGATCCCCTGGATGAGCATCGTATTAAATTTGAATCTTTCACTATTAGCATAGAAATTACAGGTTTTAATACTCACTGAGTGTATGATATGAGTGATTATTTTGTACCCGTTTTAAGAACTGATTTTAATAGGATGCATGTCATAAAAATCCAAGAGGAGTGGAGGGTGGGGATAATATCTCTTCTGATGCTGCATTATAAACCCCTTGTGTATCCTATGAGTCAAGATTTGTGGACTTTGAGGTAATTCTTAGAGTTGCTAGTTCAATTCTTTTCTCAATTTTAAATCCTTCTGTCCTTTTTATTTTGTGCTCAGTCATCTTCGTCGCTCTCCTGAAGCAACAGCTGACAAATGTTACAGTGGATTTAATTGTCTAACGATGAATTGAAAGTGAGTTTTTCCCTATTATTGGTCCATCAAAATTAGTTGTTGAATATAAAGAAGCCGCTGATTGGCTATAAACGGACAAAGGATAAACTTACATGGGTTGATAGAGCTGTTGGAAACTTTACATGGACATAAAACTAAGAACGGACAAAGGATAAACTTACATGGGTTGATAGAGCTGTTGGAAACTTTACATGGATATAAAACTAAGAACGGACAAAGGATAAACTTACATGGGTTGATAGAGCTGTTGGAAACTTTACATGGATATAAAACTAAGTTTAAACTCAATGTTTATATTTTTCTCTGATGCCCAGGATCATTCTCTCGATGATGTTGAATAGATAACACCACCACGTGCGAGAAAATCTAAAACAAATAACTGCAGTGTCTTATCTGCAACAAGATTCTATGTAGAAACACGATATTACTACCATCAAAATAGTAAATTTTTATCGAACCTATAATTATGATTCAAAATGCTTTCCTATTACTGTGAATGTATGTAGTCATGAGATAACTGTGATGCTCTTTGGTTTCCTTATTGGTTCAAATGGTGGTGTATTTTATGAATGTTTTGTCGAATGGAATGAAGTATCATTGGATATGAATTGACTGATAATTAGTTTCTCTTTATTGCTGTGACAAGGACAAGGTCGCTGGTCTACGTGATGTGAAGTGTTAGTTTACTTACTTTACGGCTATTTTTTTTTTTTTTATGAATTTCTTGTCATAATTCTTATGTAACGAGGAAAATTTTGAATTAAATCAAGAGTTAATGAATTTTTCACTTTGATCAAGTAAATACACTGACTAAAATTGCCTTGGATGATTGTTGTTTTTCTAATCAACAAAAATGTAGGCCTTATTTCCAAGAATTTATGTTTATCATCACTTGACAAGTGGGAAATTGGATTGAGTTAACTAGGATCTTCTTTTCTTGTTTTTTTTTCCCCCACTTGCTCTGATTACTCTTCCCAGCATTAAATAATGGTCTCTATCTAATATATTAACTCGATTCTTATTTTACGTTGGAAATGGTGATTTGTCTGGTTTGTGAGTGTTGAAATCGGAAACTCGCCTTTAGTAGCGGCACTACAATCACAGCTGACCTTCATATTACACAATCTTGTTTAACTGGAAATGCTAAGAATTAGTGCTTGGGAGAAGACGTGCAATAAAAACTGAAGAGTGTTTATCGAAGCATTGAGAAAGATCCAATTGATACTTAGCTGCATCTATAAACAATGAGTCATATTGAGCAATTTAATTCAATCTACAGTAACAGCTTTTATTTGGTGATGACGACATTAACATGTAAAATATTGTATATAATTTAGCCACTGTTTGATCCCCATTATCTAATTTTTTTTTTTTTTTAAACTAATTTTCAATTATACATTCTCACGATAAAATATTTGCACGTACACGTAGAATTTTTATTTTTATTTTTTGAGTATACATTCTCCAAAAATTCACTATTACAAAACTCATTTAAAGGGCTCAATCATTGCTTATGACGTGTCATATATAAGCGCAGCTTGTCCTGAGGCAATGGATAGAAATGGTTCGTCTGAAGAGGAGTTTGATGTGAATAATAGTTTCATAGACCCCCTGGCAGAAGATCAGGAACTAAAAGGTCAGCTCTTGCGAAAATACAGTGGATACTTGGGCAGCCTCAAGCAGGAGTTTATGAAGAAAAGGAAGAAAGGTAAGCTGCCCAAAGAAGCCAGACAACAACTGCTAGAGTGGTGGAGCAGGCATTACAAATGGCCATATCCATCGGTATGTTATAACCTAAGAAATGTCAAATTCATATTGCTATCAGTTCATGTTATTTGATAATTTGATTCCAAACCCTGAATTATGCGTTCCTTGTTTCTTCCCATTTAAAGTCTAAGCAAATATTTACTGCAATGTATTCAGTGACATTTAGCACTGTTAGTATACGCTCAAAGACTGTTATCTGTTAATCTTGCGCTAAATTCAGTTTATTTCAATGATTTAGGTTCCATTTATTTTTATATCTTATAATATGTTTCTTTTTCTTTTATTCTTCATCTTTGTTTGATCTGCTGCTAATGTCATTTATCTTTAGTGGTTACCGGTGCCATCTAATTGATTATTTTCGAGGTACTATGTGAAATCTTCTGCTCTTTTCTTTTTTAAACTATATATTTCTTGAAATCATTCCATGTGTATGTGGCATGTGACTATGCAGAAGTGATTTAGTTCTGTAGTACCCGGTATAATATTTGACTCTAGAGATATAATAATATGGAGAAGATAAAATTGTTTCAAGCACCGACGCAACCGAAAGCTCCCCTTGTATGGAAAATATTTATGGCCTGAAATTATCCAAATGAGATTAGAAATGTACACAATATCTCGTCTTGATTATAGGTCGTAAATCCCTTGTCTGTTCTGTCACAAGTACGTTGTCCAAACTCAAACGAACACTCCATGGGAAAATATGTACTCAGAACGTGCACTACTGAGTAGGACCAGACACTACAGTGAGATATATTTCTGGTTTCTTTTTCTTCTAATGCTATCCAGTGCTATACATTACACCTTACAAACAAGTCTTGAAGTATTTCTAACCCTTAATAATCGTAACTTAACATCTAAACAGGAATCACAGAAGCTGGTACTTGCCGAATCAACAGGACTGGATCAGAAGCAAATAAACAATTGGTTCATTAACCAAAGGAAGAGGCACTGGAAACCTTCGGAAGACATGCAGTTCGTGGTAATGGAAGCTGCTGCTGCACATCCACATTATTACATGGACAATGTTTTGGGAAATCGTTTTTCAATGGATATTTCACCATCCCTTCTCTGAGAATTTCGTGTTCTTAAATTGAATGCGCTTAGAAATCAAAATGCATGAACTGGTATTGGTTGCATACTCTGCTGGAAGTCTGAAAACTGAGGCTGTAATATTTCCTGATTATGAATTTATTTTCTTTAGCAATCTCGATTCATATTCACTTGTTTGCAAATTGTTAGTTGCAGTCACTTGACTGAATTTTAGCTTGTATTGCTAAGCCGAAAAAAGTAGCTTTTATGTTAATGTTAAAAGTAACTTTTATTTTTAGCGACGTGTTTACATTATATAATCAAGTACAATAAAACTTAAATTATGAGAAGATTTTACAAATAAGATATCAAGTTTTACCAATTTCAAATTTAAGAGATTATGTTTAAAATTTCGAATGTCAAGAGTTTTTTAGATTTTATTTATAAATTAGTTAATTAAATATATTAAGATCATAATTTCATATAATTTTGTCATAAATTTTATATTATTTGATCACAAATCACAATTTTTATGTCATAAATATTTTTACAGTCACAATTCAAAAATTTTATAGATCACAATTTGTTCATCGATCACAAATCAAAAATTTATACGTTACAATTTATTCATTGGTCACAAATCTATCAAATTAATAAGTCAAATATTGTCCATTGGTCACAAATTACAAAAATTTAAGTCACAAATCACAAAAATTATAAATCACAACTTATTAGATAATCACAAATTATCAAATTAGCGATCATAAATTAACAATTTTGTAGGTCACATATTATTTTTTGGTCATAATTTATCTTTTTCATTAGTCGAATGTTGTTTATCGGTTACAAAATAATCAATTTAATGGTCACAAACAACAAAATAATCTGCGACCACCACCAATATTTAATGGTCACAAACAACAAAATTATCTATTGCCTCACCACTGTCACCACCAGCATGGCAACTGAAACTCAATCGTTGGAACCACCACCACCTTCCGACAGCAAACCATCATCTAAAATATACCGACATAACCACGAACATCGCTACCCACCAACAACCACTGAACCACCCCCCCCAATCCTACAACTAAAAAAAAATTTCAACCCTACCGTCATCGTCGTCGTCGTCGCAACACAGATCCACCACCACCACTGCACACCGCACCACCTACAACACACCACCACCACCATCTTCTCTATTTCCATTTACACCACGTCCGAACACCACCTCACAACAAATAAACTGCCACGCGCACACCGCACACCACCACCAACATTGTACTGCACCACACCGTACACCACACAGATCCACCACCACTATCTTATCTATCTCCATTTACACCATAATCAACCACCATGCCCATACCACACCACCACCGCACACCATTTATACAGTCACACATCGCGACAGATAGAAAATAGAAAATGAGAGGAGAGAGAGAGCAGTAGCATCGCTGCACGCGAACATCGTGTGCAGCTTACTGGTTGGTCACCGTAGCCGGAGCAACCTTTGTTTTACTTGTTGATGTCGAAGCCGCCAGAGGGGGAGGGGAGGGGGAGAGAGAAGGTAGCGGGGATAATGTTTGAGATTTTTGGATTTTTAGGGTTTAGGTAGTATTAAAAATTTGAATTAATATCTGATTTTTGAATAAATAAATTTTATATTTGATTTTTGAAACTGAATCTTTAAAATTTTGGTATTGTGTAATTTACTCTTAAATTATTTCTAGTGTAAGCTGCCTATTGGCCCAACATGTCATAATTTTTGAAGTTCAAAGAAGGGAAAAATTCAAATATGCCCACTTTAAAAAAACAATTTCCTGAAATACACCGTTTTATATTCGTATTATACTTTTTATTATATAAAATAAAACTAAAAATATTGTTTCCTAAATTTATTCGTATAAGGAAAAATTGTATTTTCTATTCTTAACTTGAATTATGCCATTTGTCCCGGCTCAATGACCGGGACAAATGACAGGGCGTCGAGGTGGCGCCCTCACATTGGA